ATTCGCACGGTGCTTGCTTGTTCTAAGATCTTATTTTCCTCCAACATCTTCTTAGGTCAATATTCTGTGTTGCTCATGTCAACCCTTTATTACACTTTGCTCCCCCTTGACTTTACTTTATTCCCCTCGTCACCAATGGTTTTACCAAATCATTTATTTCACCTCACCTCATCTTACTTTAAAATTTAAAAAACATTTATAAATCTCATGAAAACATTATATTAAATAGTAATTAATAAAATAACTAAAAAATATTGCTATGATGCCCCTAAAATCGGGGTCCCTTTGTCAACCGTTGACCATCCGTCAACCTACAGAAATACCTATAATTGTCGCCAAATCCGACATCACGTCAATAGAATTCCTTTAACCAGAATTGTTACCCACACGTATAACACATGCATATTTTACCATTTGACCCAACCGAGTCCAATACAACACAATTTATACTTATTTTATGTCCATTTATATCCTTGAACTCAAAGAAGCCAAAGTCCAAAAGCATGGCAAGGCAGTCTTAAAGTTTCAAACTTTTAGAGAACCTACCGGTAGGTTTCGTCCATTGGAAAAGTCTTACCGATAGATCCTACTGGTAGGTTTTTCCTGACATACAAAATTCTGCCTGTACAAAGTCCTACCAGTAGGTTCTACCGGGTACGTGTTGCCCACTAGATAGCGATCTACTGGTAAGTTTTTCCTAAATTTTCCAGTTTCACCTATTTTTCATTTTCAATTAATTTCAAACCCACCCTAACACATATAACATATATTTGTTCATCAACCATAGTTAATACAAGTTCTATTACAATCATTTTCAAAAGATTACACATCCAAAACTTGATTTTCACAATGTTTTACAAAAATACGGATTAAAAGCCAAAAGTCTGCCTCTCTTCATCCTCGAGGCCCCGAATGAGAGCCGTCCATCGATATGTGTCCCGCACCTGAAATATTTTTTCATATAAGGTGAGTCAACGCTTAATGTAGTATCTTCTATAAAGGCTAATCCGCAACCTAGATGCATATGAAATGTGTTCATGTAACAATTAACAACCATTATCCATTCCAATGAAGAACATGTAATTCAAGATGAGAATTTTACCATGTTGTGTCATGATATGAGATGATGGTCATTTGTGCACTTTAACCCGAGTCCTCACCGACTCGCACAATATAATGCAATGCACATGTTTATGAAACCAAATCATTGTTGGATGTTAGCCATCGAATGAGTATTTTGTAAAAATAAAGTCATGTGTCTTTATTAGGTATCAGATTTTGGAATCACATCACTGGCTCCATACGCCATTACACTTTTTCAAAAATTTCACCACAGAGGAGTGTATGAACCAAGTAACCGGGTTTTTCACCCGAGGGAGAATCTATCCCTTCTTGCTATAGCCGACACAAGTTTTTTCGTGCAACCATGCAACTCAATCGGATCTTCAATCCAACTTTTCCGAGCCCACACATCAATCACCAAGTATGGTGTTTGATCAAACCATGCACACACACTCACACTCACACTCATGTCGAATGTCCATGAATGCAATGTCAACTTCAAGCCCAATATGCAATGAATGCCAAAGGAGAAATTTAAATCGCATATCAACATATCACATGACAATTTATATCTCAACATATAATCACCATTAACCATCATGATGCTAATATATTAACAACATATATCAACTCATTTATTCAATTACCATTTTCTCAAGCTTGTCATACATCATTCATGTCGTAACAAACTTTATTCTCACATAGGAATTTAGCAAACACCTTCAAGGTACCAAATCATGTTACCACATAAAATTTCCCACATAATAACAAGTTCCAAGAAATTTCACAAGTAACTTCTCTACACCAAATTCAAACTAAAAATTGGTTTAAGTCATTCCCATACCCATTTTCTCGTTTCCATAATAATAGGCAAGTGACATATCTAACTATACACATACCCATTCCATATGGACATCCTAAGCTAGAAATAAACCAAAGTAGGAGGAAACCCTACCTCTTGAAGCGTAAAACAAAAAGTAGAACCTTCAAGAATACCTCCCAAGCCCAAAAATTTTGATTTTCCCAAATCTCCTTTTTAGATCTTCGGTGAAATCCTTCATTTTTGGTATGGTTATGTAGACCTCATCGATATGATCAACTTTAACTCTTGATCTGAGAGATTTCAATTGCCGAAACTCCGTAGATTGTAGAGGGAAGATAGAAATTTTCTTTTCTTTTTTCTCTCTTCTCTCTCTTTCTCTTATAACATGAGAAGTCAGATGAAATAGGGAGAAAAAATAGATATTTTTCCCTATTTATACCCTTTAGTTGTGCAGTCCACGTCGCGCCACACGTTTCTTATTTCTGGGTCCATTTTTGTCCCGAAATGACTTAAGAAAAGTTTTAAACTTTCCTTCAATCATAAGGAAATTTCATAAATTTTATTTTTGGGGACGTTTGTGAGATCTCCTGACATTCAGTTGTCTCGTAAATGTGAAAAATCTGACTAACTCATAATTCGATGAAAATTGACATGGTAACTAGATTTTGTGAGACGAATCCAACAGTGTGGTCTGTTGCATCATCTGAATTCTATACAAATACGCATTTTAAATCCGCATTATAGTGAAAAATTACTATTTTACCCCTTTTCAGAAAAAGTTTAAATTTACCCGAATTTTATAATTGCAATTCGTCACAATTAATAACTACAGAATTAACATTTTATATGATCAATCAAACATACACTCTATGGTAGAGTTACTCCACTATGACATGTACTTCATACTGCATGTGCTTGATAACTAAGACAAGGAGGCGAACGAATGGATCTCTACTTCCTCACTGTGTGAATCCTAAAAGATAATTTTTCTATAAATTATCCTGGCATTGTGCCATATGCGAAGGGGAGACTATTTACATCATGACCATGCACTATATTCATTTGTCAATGAGTTATGTTGTTTTTGGAGTAACGATATAATTATGAGTATAATGCAGCTTAGATGAAAAAGTTAAGTATAGCTCTCTGAGGGACAGAAACCCTTAACTCGGTGTGATTAAATAGGGTTGAGAAATAATGGGTCACTTTATTTCTTTACTTGCTTTTTGAATGGTTGATGTATCTATTATGGCCCGAGAGGGTTTCTAGTAGGGTACTCCCAATTGCATGTCGACTCAACGTTCGTACTGTTCTTTAGTCTTTATGAACAGTCACGATGATAGAGTTATGTAGAGAGATGAATATTGCAACGTTGTCCCTGCCCTGTGCAAGTGGGAGATGTTAGCATTTGGATATAGAGTCAGGTCAGTGCCCATGGACAGGCACAATCCTAATAGATAATGATGGTTAGTGTTTGAATTAACTTGAACTTGGTCAAGCCTAGATAAGGATGAGTTTGGTTCCTAAAATCTCTCCATCTTATCTTATTTCCTATAAACTCTCCATGTTACCCCACATATGTTTTATATATATATATATATATATATATATATATATAATGAGACTCTACCAACAAATGAGAAATAAAATATTACTACGATTGAAGTTTTTCATTCTATCTCTTTATATCGTGACTTGTGTGAGACTCTAACTTACCGCAAGTCGAAGTGTTCGTGTTCAAATGTATTCGTGATTATCAAGAAGGTTCGGAAGGAAAAGTAAAACATTATTCAAATCCGTTGATTCATTGTTTTCGAATCGTAACCGAGTATGACTTATTTTATGTATTCATGTTTCCACATTCTTGCAACTAGAAACCGAAGATAAAATACAAGCTTCATTCCACTTTGTAAAAGGGGATTATCTCCTCATTATGTGACTGGGCATTTTAAAGGAAAAAAGAAGAGGGTATAAACCTTCGTTTATGACGGAAATTATACATTGAGTAAACGAGAAATATGGTTTATCTTGAACACGCGTTAATAGTTTATGTGTGAAACACTAATCCCCAAGTTAAAAATGTACATACCTCCCTCCTAAAAGTACAACACAAATCTAAATCTAAAGTTTGTATAAAGTATGAGTTTGGTTTCTGATAAAGATTTAGTACTGTTACTATGACCTACTAATTCTATCTAATTTTTTTTTCGTCTTCATTTTTATCGTTCAATTAGCAGTCAGTCTCGATATTTTAATAAAATTCACTGTAAGTTGAAAAAATAGTAGTGAATTAGAGCAGAAATGAATGAATTAGGGCAATTGACCACAAAAGGTTATATCCGACTAGCATTATTGTCCAATAAAATATATTTTAGCAAATTTTCTTCTAATGAAATAAATTAAGCACATAATAGGCTCATTGTCTTAGTGAGTAAACGAAATATTAAAAATCCCAAATTGATTCTTCCTTTTTTTGCTATTGATCACAAATTGATTATGTTTAGCCTAATGTAATGGAAAATACTATTTAATCCAACTAGAACTGAAAAATTAAAACTCAAATGCATATTATCTCTTGAATGAGTGGGGGATGAGTAGGTCCGACTAAAAAAATTGATGAGACTCACTCATCTAAAAAATGATATGCATTTGAGTTGTAACTTTTTTAAATTTCATTTGAATTTTGTATCATTGCTCTAATATAACATATCATTTTCACAAAAGGAGAAAAAGTAGTTTTTGGCTGGAAAACCTGACAAACAGTTTGACATTTTAGTCTCAAATTCCGGCATATCCATTCTAATTCTCTTCATATCCACCATATGTATAAAAGGATATGTTCACATACACCAAGGAATTTCCATCCATGCATGGAAAGAATCTTATTTATGACATGCTTTATTCAATAATGGAAACAAAATCAATTAAATATGAAAGAAAGGCAAGCTATCAAATAATATCAAAAAGTCAATGAACAAATCAAAACGACAAAGGAAGCTGGCATCTTCTTCGATCATTCCATATTTAACCTCCGAATTTCAGTCCTTAAAATTCCATCACAATCTCGAGTATATGAGTGAGAAGAACAAAGAAACCTAGGCATTAAGGGAAGAAAATGGCTTCAAAGTCTGCTTTTATAACTGTTTGTCTCTTCATTGTGTTCATGTTGGTGTGCTTCACTGATGCTCGAAGAGGTGCACCACGCAAGATTTTCAATGTGATGGATTATGATGCAGTTGCTGATGGAAAATCTGATAACAGTGAGGTAAGTTTTTGCAATATGAGGCATGATATAAACCCATATTGGTAGCCTAGCGAATCGTATACCCCAATGTGCGGGGTTCAATTTTTGGTGGTGACTCTTGGATTTATGCGATGCCTTTAGGTAGAGGGTGATTGCAGGTGTCCGAAATTTATTCTGTATAGTTAGGGCCACTGTAGTCATGTCTTTGAGAAAATTTCTTGTCACGGAAAAAATATACAGATGTGATTATATCCAAATATGTGCGTAGAGTCTCTATTTACTTCTTGGGTTTTTCCTTTAGGCTTTATTTTTTCTTTTTGGTCAAATATTCTTAGGCTTTTCAGAAAGCATGGAATGTTGCATGCCAATATTATGGGAGGAGTGTGGTTTTGATCCCTTGGGGCACGTACACGTTGAATACGGTGTTGTTTAAGGGACCATGCAAGGGTGCCATGGCATTTCTGGTTAAAGGGGTTCTTAAGGCTCCTACTGATCCTGCGTTGTTCTCTACTAACACTTGGATTGGCTTTCGGTACCTCGACGGATTGGTGGTGAAAGGTGGTGGTTCTTTGGATGGCCAAGGAGTTTCTGCTTGGCCTTACAATGATTGCTTCACAAACCCCGAGTGCAAGCCTCTTCCTGTTGTAAGTTTCCAGTACCTAAAAAACTGTCTGATGAATGAAAAACATTGAGTAGTTGATATGGATTTTGATATATTTTCAGATTTATAGGACAGATTTTGATGACGTTTTTTTATTTTATGTTTTATATACAAAATTGGAAGTGTATGGTTGTGTTTTTGTTTTCCTGAATTTAACAAACAGTAATTCTATTAGAACATAATTTTGGAACATAATAAATTGCCACTAATAAATTGATAGTGAAATATATTTAATGATGTGTCATGTTGCAACATTAAATGCATTTTACTATTATTCTATTAGTGACAACTCATTATATTCTCAAGTTATGATCCAACAACATTTATCTTTAATAAATGGTTTTTAAAATCCCGAAAATTTTAACTTGTATGTTACTTATGATAATTTTTTTATAAGAAATTATTTTCCTAGTATTTTTAGTTATATTTGTGGCCCCCAATTTTGCGAAGGGTTTTTTATATGAAAAAAATAAAAAAAATTGGAGATTTTTTTTGCATTATTAGTAATTTAAAAAATGCGAGATGGGATACTGAGATTTCTCTTCTTTTAATTAATATGTTAATAACACCGCCCTATTTTTAAATGTTTCTGAAAATCCTACCCCAAATTTGCTAAATATGGTGCAGAGGAAATATTATTATGTGGGAAAAAAATCTAATTTTTTTCTATCATTAGGGGAAAAATCAACGTACTGATTGGATATCACACAAAAATAATTTTGACACAATTTACAACCTAATAAGATCAGGTTACCATTCAATATTTTCAAAGTTACGACTCAATTAGATTTTAATATTTTCTAGTAAATTAAATAATTTTCAGATAAATATTAAGTCTACTCTTTTTAATCATATAGTCTGATTGAATCCTAACCTTGGGTACCGAAATCACTTCTACCCTAGAAAATGCTAATGGAGTTAAATAATCTACATTCTCTAACTTAGTGCTCACAAGGACATCTGTTTTCTTGTGGTGCATTTGGCCGGAATCAGTCAATGAGGTTCGATTTCATCAACAATTCAAGAATACATCACTTGAAATCAGTCAACAGCAAAAACGCCCATATCAACCTCTTTGCATGCAACAACATGAATATCAGTCACATTAGACTAACTGCCCCAGGCAACAGCCCCAACACCGATGGAATCCATATAGGCGCCTCAAGTGATATCAAGATTTCACGGACACTCATCAGCACTGGCGACGACTGCATTTCCATGGTCTCAGGAAGCCAAAACATAGATATCTCCGATGTTCAATGTGGCCCAGGGCATGGCATCAGCGTCGGAAGCCTTGGAAGGTCCCATGAAAAAGAATTTGTGAAGGGATTAACCATAAGAAACTGCACTTTTAGTGGTACCCAAAATGGGTTGAGGATCAAAACCTGGGCACCTTCTTTGGCCAGCAGTGCTGGAGATTTTACATTTGAAAATATAGTCATGCGGAATGTCTTCAATCCTATCATTATTGATCAACAATATTGTCCTGTACCTCCTTGCACTAACCAGGTATTTTGAATACCTCGAGTTCTTTACCTAATTTTGATTTCTATCTTTTCCATACTTATTGCATTTCTGCAGTAAGCATATTTTTCAAAGGTGAGGTAAATTATTATTTTTTATAAACAATGATAGTTGAAAAGCTAAGTTAAAAAACATGGCATTGTGGTAAAACAAAATAGAAAATCACGGTAGGAAGATAATTGATCAAAATACCTTGCCCTTTCAAAATACTCAATTTATGCTTAGGAATCATCTTCGATTTTTTATGTGGAAATTCGTGTTAACTACAGGCTCAATCGCAAGTTCAGATCAGCAATGTTACCTTCAGAAATATTTGGGGTACATCAAGTTCGAGAGTTGCAGTCACTATGAAATGTAGTGAAATGGTGCCTTGTCGGAATATTAAGCTTATGAACATCAACTTGGCATACAATGGCTCTGATGGACCGATAACGTCGTCGTGTTTCAATGTCAATGGTGGGTCTTATGGCAAACAGTTGCCTTCGGGTTGTGTATAGCCCTCGTCACTCTCAGCACCTATACAGGCTCACTTCACTTACAAGTCATTATGGTAGCTAATTCGGCCTCTTAAGGTTCCTCTTGTTCTAGTTAGGAGTTTACCCTTTTATTTAAAGACTCAGATCCAGTTTAGTATTTTCAGATCTTACCATTTTTTAAATTCAAATTTAAATTTGAGTAAACAATTTAAAAAAAAAACTTCTTCAATGCAAGACTCAAATCCATATCAAATTAAGTGAGACTCAAATTTATATTCGAATTTTTAATTGTGAGATTTCACCATTCCTTAAAAACTTAATAGTCATATTTTGCCGCCTTTTTAAAATTGAATTTGTTCTTATTTAAATTTGAGTTTGTCTTCCTTTAAATTTAAATTTGTTCATTAGAGAAGTTCGTAAAAACCAAGGTTTTCACCTTTTTTTTACTCAAATTTGAGTAAAAGTTTGAGTTTCTATTGTAGATAGTCTTAGATATATCCATTAAATTTTATTAGATATAGTGATGCTATTGCTACATAAATCAGCCATGTATAGTTGGCGGCCTATTTATGTCGCCAATATAATTAGTTGGAGGTATCGACGGAACTATGTTCTGGCCAAGGGGGCACTTCCCCCTCCCCCAAAAAAAAAAGTTTTCAACATTGCACTTTGTACCTCCAATAATGTTTTATGTTGATCATTTAAAACAATGATCTTCATTTCAAACATCTCTCGACTTTTTGTTTAAACACATTCAGTCATTAGTCATTCAAACTAGTCATGTGGATTACGTTTATCTATAATTTAATAATGTGTGCAGAAGCAAATTGAAGACTACATACAAAATATAATAATGAAATTTATCAATGATCTCAGGTTCTGCAAGATCCCTCTTCCTATAACCAACATTTGACGTCCTCTGCTACCATACAATGCAAATTTCATTATCATTGTAAGCGGTAAAAAAATTACCTTTTACGACATGATTTGATTATAGTTGAATTATGTGTATGCTGTTCAATTTTTCTTACAAAACGAACAAATTGTCTAGGATTGGAGTGGACCGATCGAAGACACTCAAATATTTAAGCCAATAAAAGATAGAGACAACAGGCAATTATAGGGAAAACAATGCGTAACTTTTTCTAAACCCTCATGGTCCCTTTTATAAGATGCCTTAGTCTTCATCCTTTAGAGTTTTCCTTATTTGCAAAGCGAGGTGGTACACCCCTCTTGCGCTAGATTTTGGGTCACTCCGATTAAAATCTCTCCAACGTTCTCAAATCAGCTAGTGGTTCGAAACTATTGATGTTTGTACCATAATTTTAGCAAGTTCCCTATCTTATCCCTTTGTTATCCTGAATAATAGGTAACCGCTTGCTTAGCTCAGTCCGAACTGTTTCAAACTCTAAGGGCAACTCATCCTAACTATTCACGTACACCTAAGAAGTTCTATTAGTCCTAACCTAACCTAAATTAGTTGGATTAGTCTTGGGAAAGGGATGCATTAGGACGATCAGGGTCGGCAATGAACGAAGTAAAAGTCAAAATTTAGTCAAGCAGCACATGAGCAACACTACAAAAGAGACTGTCATTGAAAGACCACATTCTCTTCAATTCTTCCATCTTCACAAAGCTGTCCATGATCTTCCCTTTGATGGTTTCATCTAAGAAAGTATATCATGTTTAAACCATGGGTCATAAAAAAAAAAGAGCGGAAAGAGGTGAAATTAGACATATCTACAGTTAATTGGTGCGCCTTCTTCAAAGGGGCATCTATAGGTGCGAATCTCACTAGCCTTGTACTCCCAGTTCCTAGACACAAAAAGTACGCCATTCTCATGGCCCTTATTTGAATCTGGAAAATGAGTCACCAAATGGCGATCCTTTCTCCTTATGGTATGGTTTCAATGGTGTTGGTGCCAGCTACGTGAACCTCAACATTGTTGGGAATGTTATATTTCACTTTCAAAGTAGGAATCTCATAAGATTTAAAGGGATACATTTGAGAAAATAGAGAAATCTCGATAATAAAGTTTGAGCAAGAAACGGAAGAGGAGAAGCTCATAATAAAGGCGAATGTAAAATAAGTGTTTGAAGACTCCTTTTTAAAGATATGAACATACGCCAAAGAAATGACACCTAAAGACCAAAGGGCAAGACATTAAATGAAAATTAAATGTCAGATTGAGACATGAAGGATTTATGGCTTGAGAAGCCAAGTAATCATTAGCCTTGGGTATAGGAAACAACTGCCAAACGTGTCACGTGGCGCAAGTTTCCTAGAGGCAATTAAAGGGGCATGAAATTTCGGCACATGACTTAATTTGATTATTTACACACATGATAAGGTCATGTGTGGATCAAGAATACAAATAGTCCATAGGATGATCAAGAAGCTCTGTAAGCAGCGTGTGCTCAAACTCCCCGATCTCGCAGGAAACCCATTTTGGCTACTTTTGGTAGGAATAGGCTAGTGAGGAATTTTCTAGATTTCCTATCCCCAGTCGAGCCTTCTTAATCCATTCTTGCCCCATTCATGCCCTCTTGATTTTTGACAACCCTGCTCAGCCTAATCTGATCGAGATTGAACAAGTGATCTTCCTTATGAGCCTAGTGAACAAGGCGACAAAGTAGCTTTCCAAGACAATCAAGATCTTCCAGGCATCCCTTTTCAACCGAGCTCCCTAAGTTTGCAGATGCTCCTACTGCAAGCTCTTCTGCATCACCTACTACTTAGCAGCAATATCTTCTACTCACTATTTTTTTAAATACTAGTGTACTTTCCTTCTTTTTTTTCTTATGAATATATGGAAAAGCTTTATTTTTTTCTCCCCGCATAAATTCTTTAATAAATTGCTTGGTCTTTCTTTCAATAATTCGGTCCTTAGCCAACTAATAGGGGCCTTTAAACACTATCTTTTTCAAAAGATGTTGGCCCTTAGGGAACTGCTTAGCTTTTTGTTCAAGTGATTGGTCGTTAGCCAACTAGTAGGGAGTTTTAAGAACTTATCGTTTTTATAAATGATTTTGGCCCTTAGCGAACTACTCAACATTTCTTTCAAAAGTTGGGTCCATAACCAAGTACTAGGAAATATTAAACACATATCTTTTTACCAAAGATTTTGGACCTGAGCAAACTACTTAGCCTTTCTTTCAAGAGTTTGGTCCTTAGCCAACTACTAGGGACTTTTAAATATTTATCTTTTTTACAAAAGATTTTGGCCCTTAGTGAACTGCTCGACCTTTCTGTCAAGAGTTCGGTCCTTAGCCAACTATTAGGGTCCTTCAAAACATTTGTCTTTTTTACAAAATATTTGACCCATAGCGAACTGGTCAGTCTTTATTTCAAGAGTTCGATCTTTAGCCAACTGCTAGGACATTTTATCAATGCATATCGCGCTACCATTGCACCAACCAACTGATACGATTAGACTCAGAAGTTTACCCATTTGGCTTACATACTCATGCCTAACCTTAGGCCTAGTTCTGATCGGGTGGCTACACTTGACTTAGGTGTCTACCTTTACCAGGAATTTTTGTGTGTTTATACTGATCACTCTGCTTTGAAGTATCTTTTGTCTATGCATGATGCAAATCTGACACTCATTAGGTGGATACTCCTCCTACAAGAATTCAACTTGATGATCAAAGACAAAAAGGGAGTTGAGAAAGTGATGGCGGGGCATCTATCTAGACTTGTGGTGCAAGAGGCCGATGAGCACATTCCTATCCCTAATTTTTTTCCCAAATGAGCATTTACTTTCAATTCATTATGTTTGTCTCTGGTATGCTGACATATGTAATTATCTTGCTATAAGACAAATACCACTGCACTGGAGCCCAGAGGATAGATGGAGATTTATGGTGTATGTGAAGTAATTTTACTTCGACAACCCGTACCTATTCAAGTATTGCCTTGACCAAGTCATGAGGAGATGCATACCAAAAAATGAACAATGGGATGTCCTTGCATTGTGCCACTCGGAAGCATGCGGTGGCCACTTCTATTTCAAGAAGACTTTGGCAAAGATTCTACAGTTAGTTTTTTATTAGCCCTTATTAAACAAATACTGTGTTTCATTTTGTAAGGAATGCGATAGGTGCCAAAGATTGGGTAGTGTGACTCGAAGGAACATTATGCCCCTCTCCCCTGTACTTGTTATTGAGATATTTGACTATTGAGGCATCGATTGCATGAGTCCCTTTCCTATGTTGTTTGGCTACCTATACATTCTGTTGGCAGTGGACTACATGTCCAAATGGGTGGAGGCTATCCCAACTAAGACCAATGACCACTGGGTTGGTCAAGTTTCTCAAGGAGAATATTTTTCAAGGTTCGGGATGCCTCGTATAATGATAAGCGATGGTGGGTCGCATTTCTATGCTAGACCATTTGCATCTTTGATGCATAATTATGGCGTCACACATAAGGTGTCCACCGCATATCACCCACAGAGCAATGGTCAAGCCGAGTTGTCCAATAGGGAAATCAAAAACATCCTAGAGAAAACGATGAACCCTAATAGGAAATATTGGTCATTTAGATTGATCGATGCCCTGTGGGCTTACCGCACTTCTTACAAGATCGTTCTTGGCATGTCATTCTACAGGCTAGTCTATAGCAAGGCTTGCCATTTGTCGGTTGAAATAGAGCACAAAGCCTATTGGGCCATCAAGACCTTAAACTTCAACATGAAAATGGCCGAAAAGGATAGGAAGCTTGAAATGAATGAATTGAAAGAGATTCGAAGAGATGCATATGAGAGCTCTAAAATTTCAAAGGAGAGGGCTAAGATCTTTCATGACAAATCCATTGTAAGGAAATCATTTGAGCCCAAACATAAAGTGCTCTTATACGATTCTCGTCTTTCGATCTATCAAGGAAAACTCCGATCTCGTTGGGATGATCCCTATCTTGTCAAGGTGTCCTATCCCAATGGAACTATGAAAGTTACAAATCCCGAGGATGGCAAGGGATTCAAGGTCAATGGTCAGGGACTTAAGCCATTCTTTGAGGG